GATCCGGTAGATTAGCATATCGTCAGAGATTTGCAGACGCGCCATGAGGAAAATGTTGGAAGAGATCTAATCGAAGAAGATGAGATAAATCCAGGTGGTCAGGAAACACTTTTGGATAACGAGCTTATCGAAAACCTTCCATTAGAGCGAGTAGCAATAGCCCCTGGAGAGGGCCGAATTCCTATTGATATAACACGAGATGACAATACAGAGGAATTGTCTTTTCCAACAATTTTTTGTGGCAAAAAAGGCGAACGACGCTTAACTACAGCAAATTATTGGGGTCAGAAGTTCGCAGATATGACCGACGATGTGCACGTATTGATAATTTGCTCTGGAAATATCAATATTCTGAGTTGCAGCGCGTTAAAGATGCAATTTCTATTTGTTTGCGGAAAAAANTGTTCATCAATCATCAATCTCCGAAGAAGGTTTTGCAGATCGCATCGATCTCAAATCGTACGNTAACTACAGCAAATTATTGGGGTCAGAAGTTCGCAGATATGACCGACGATGTGCACGTATTGATAATTTGCTCTGGAAATATCAATATTCTGAGTTGCAGCGCGTTAAAGATGCAATTTCTATTTGTTTGCGGAAAAAAATCTGGAACCTCCAACATCACCGCAGCAGCAAATATGGTCGATAGGAATTTTATTAGCAACTTAGTCCAACATGACGAGGGATACCACATCCTAAAGGGTCTCAGATCATCCCCTGCTCACTGGGAGGCAGAGAAAAAGAAGGTTTTAGCGATGATTCGTCAATTTGGGTTGCCATCGTTATTTATCACCCTGTCGGCTGCAGAGACAAAATGGNGTTCACGGTACTTCGATTATCGTTTCCGACGAATGGTTAAGCTACTCAAAGATAAAATATTTGAACCACATGTGATTATTCATTATTACTGGAGGATTAAGTTCCAACACAGAGGTAGTCCTCACTGTCATGGAATGTACTGAATAAGTAACGCACCTACTCTGGAGACAGAAGGTGTGATAAATATTGACCCCATTGTGGAATTTGTCGACCAATTTATATCAACAGATGGAAGCAATCCAGAGGTGCAGCAATTTATTGACTACCAAAGACATAAGGTTTGTATAGTAACTTCTCCAGTAAAACATTGCAGCCAGAGCGTAAAAGCTAAATAGAGCGTAAAATTGACAAGAAGAGAAAACTAACAGAAAAAGTTACTGAACGCAAAGCTAGTAAAAACTTGCAAGTGAATAGTTGTTGCACCCTTTTGATATTCTGCTCTAAACATTTTTCTATTTATAAATCAGTTGTAAACTCTTTGCTTTTCACACAAGCACTTACACAGTCTAGTACATCATTAATATTTTGATTTCCATTCATTTTACTTTTGTTGTGCTAAACCAATTCAACAAATGGCGGCTTTTGACATTTATTCTTCTTCTTCTTCTGCTAGCTAATTTTTGCTAGTAGAAGTTTCACTAGTAAGAATTTGCAGCTCTCCCGTGTTGTTGCGCTCTCGATTTGTTGCTCTCCTGCAATTTTTTTGGGTTATCATACAGTAACATACAGAAGTAAGCGAACAACACCTGGCTCCGTTGCAAAAAATTAAAAATGTTTTAAGCCAACAGAATGAGAATATGGAAGCAGAGAACCTGAACAACTTTGAGGAATTCTTAATGCATCCAGACATTTCCACAACTTATGAGAATTACAAATTAGCGCTGCGTTCCAGTTTAAAGCCGCAAATATTTCTACGAAGGACATTTTCAGATAAACTGCTTAACGCATATAATAGCGATATTTTGCGTTTGCATAGAGCAAATATGGACATTCAGTTCATACTTGACGCCTATGTATTCTGCAGCTACATAATTAATTATATCAACAAATCTAATAGAGGGGTATCTCAGCTGTTAAGACAAGCCATGGATGAAATAAATGACGGAAATTTCACAATTAAGCAAAAA